TTAATCTGTACATGTCATTGTTCATATTGTACATGGTGCTGCCTGTCCTTGAGGTGGGTAAAGGGGGCAAGTTCTTGATATTCTTGGGAGCATTGGTATGGCCTTGTGTTTTTGGAGACATCTTCTTGGAAGTTGCAATTCGGGATTGCAACAAATTAGGTGGCATCTCAAACAGGTGAGTCGGTTTTGTTCCAGAGGAGTTGCAACTAGTACTGCTGCTTCCTGGCTCATGGCTTTGGTTGATTGATTCATAAGTCTCCTTTGGCTCCTGAATTAACATAGCATAATGATACATTTTTAGCAATAGCACCATGTATGATGCAACTGGAATAATATGCACAGAGGATCTTTTTACTCTCCTCTTTTTTAATAAATGTAATATGAAATATCAGTGTGGTCTCAGAAAGGTTAAGCACGGACATGAGCGTAGTACTTAATTATCCTGCTATTTTTTTTCCCATGAAATTTGACGCGGGCCCTAAACACACAGGGATGTGGCGTGCTGCAGAATGAGATTGTTTGAAAGTGAAAAAGATAAAGTGCATTTCTCCCATCGAAAGGGGGGAATCGCCTTATTGATCAATGTTATGAATTCCACTTGTGATGTGTACTGCTGTACTCTTTACCTCTTTCGGTTGCGCAGGATCTTCTTTTGGTTCTTCAGCTGCCAGATCTTTTTTCTTACGCTCACGATATGTTTGAGATCTTCGTTTCATTCTAGCATTCCGGCGCCTGCAAAAAGTAGGATGATAATGATTAATGAGTTATTTCAAGAAAAATGGGGGAAAGGCGGAAAGAAGATAAAGAAAATTGTGATGTTTCTGCCATCAGACAAGCATGCGATGTTCTCTTTTAGCCTTTTTTACTGTATCACATTCACAGTTACACCAGAGTGATAATGATTATGCAACCATGATTTAGCTATTAAATATTGCTGCCATTGATCAGATGCGCTTACTTTCTCTGTTCGTCAGCTTGTGTGAGCTCATCTTCATCTTTTTTAATCACCGGGAGGCCTGATAAGTCGCATGCCAGAGGACTTATGTGAAAGAACTGAAACAAGAGGATCAACTCAGAAATAAGCTCTCCGTTTAATTAACTCCTAGCTATATTCTTGTTTCTGCTGGCATGCACTCTTTGAACATCAAAATCATCAATGGTGGTGTTGAAAATTTTGGGAACTAATTGATAGTGTGTGAACCATATTACCTACATGATTCTCCTTAATTCTACTTGGCATTAATAGAACAAGAAATCTCACACTCCAAAAAAAAGATACGGGCTGGGGGAAGCTAGATTGTGGAAATTAATGTAAAGGCTTTGTACTAGTGGCAAGAACTCTACATCACATTAAGCTCTCTAGTCATGTCCTTACTTCATTTTGGAGAGCTGAAGATGCACAGCCGCGAGATGCAGGATCCAGAGCAAGAAGTGTGGTTAACAGACCCAAAGCTGATTCAGGAAACTCGCTGAAAGCTTCAAAAAGGCCAGGTTTGTATGTTCGTGGAGGTCGAAGGGATGTAGATAGCCTTAACTTTTTCCAATAGTCCTCTGGTGGAGTTCCACATAGTTTAAAAATCTTATGCAGCTGCTCGACCTGAATATTTCAGAGTTAACCATGTGAGATAACCATGTGACTAAACACTGTAATGAATAGTCAGGAATATTCTCCAAGGGTTGTGTTTCTCATAAATATCCAGTTAGAATCTCAGTCACGACCATTGATTTCGCTATATACCTCTGTTCTTCCTGGCATGATTGGCCTGCCTGCAAACATCTCTGCCAAGAGACATCCAGCACTCCAGAGATCAATACCAGTTCCATAGTCTGTAGCACCCAGCAATAGCTCTGGAGCTCTGTACCAAAGTGTCACAACTCGTGATGTGAGAGGTTGTTTCTGTTTAGGAGAATAATAATTTGAAAGCCCAAAATCAGCAATCTTTAGCATCCCATTTTTATCAATTAATAAGTTTGATCCTTTAATGTCTCTGTGTAAAATTCCCCTATCATGGCAGTGCTGCAGACCTGAAAGCAGCTGTTGCATATAACACTTGACCTGCATTAACAGATAAGGTGAGCTACTAACAAACTAATACATGATCCCTAGAAACCAAATAAGAGAGTTTCTACCTGTGGTTCAGTAAGTCTTCCTTCGGGACGGGAGATGATTTTTGATAAATCAGACTTCATGAAATCAAAAACTAGATAAAGACTATACTGCATCCTTGAGGTGGCCAGTCCTTCAAGCTTTACCACATTGGGATGATCCAACTTCTGTAATATCATGATCTCTCGTGCCATAAATTTCACACTCTCTGGTTCTGACGTGTCAAAGCGGACCTTCTTCAAGGCAACAATTTGTCCAGTTTCCTTATCTCTAGCTTTGTACACATTGCTATAGGTACCCTCTCCCACCTGTAACCAAGCATGAGAAGACTAAGATGGTCTCGTGATCACAATAACCGTTCAAGCAAGTTATCAGCAAACTTTACGATCCCTTCTCTTTTATAGGAAGTTAAAAACGAAACAAGAAGATCTGAATCTTTTAATTTTTGTTAAATGTGATCAGAACACCACGGAGCCTGATACATCAGTGAAGTAATCCATTCTGAATTTAGAATTGACACTTGGGAAACTAGAAAAACAGATTCACCAGGAAAAAAATTGTTTAAAATCTTTTCTTTTCTCCCGTAATTCCATCGAACTTTTTTTATGATAACTATGGGAGACAGATTACACAGAAAAAGCATCTCAACCCAGTCACAACCATTTCAAATTCCCAAGGAAGAATACATACAGCTAATAAGAAGTGAAAAATAAGAAGAATTCAAGAACACTGACCTTTGCAAGCTTATCATAATTCTCAGCACTCTTAGGGATCAAACCACCCAAAACCTCTCTAGGAACATTATCAGTTAGCCACTTGGGCCATCCATCCACTACCTCCTCCCCGCCAAACTCCACAAATCTCACTCTACCTGTGTCACTCAATTTCGTCTCTTCACCATTAGCAGCACGACCACCATTATATTTCCTCGTTGGTTGTTCAGGCTTAGGGAGCCTGCCAGGGTATCTCTGCCCAGTGGATCTTCTATGGCCAGCGATATCTCCTTTTCCCACATAGCCACTTTCCATTTTGAGCTTCTCTAACCCTCCTGGTGTTGGTGATGAATTTACTGAATACTTTCCCTGGACACAGCCCATGGCCTTTCTCGGTCTAATACCAGTCCTTTTTTTCTTGAGAGAGACTAATGGTTCTGTGATGAATAACATAGCCAAGAAAAGACAGTGTCAAAGAGAGAAGACAGTCATAAATATGAATGGAGTTTGACAAAGAGAGTAAATAAAGAATGGGGAAGGCGGAGAGAGAGATTTTGCCGGCCTTGGACGGCCCTTTTGGATTTTTGCTGTGTGGAGAGAACTCAAAGGATCATTTTTTATTCTAATATTCTACCAGGATGTGATCATTGAATTGAAGTCTCCTGGCTTCCCTGCATCTTGTTATCTCCGTTGGGAGAGAAAGTGAAGAAGATACATGTGACGAGCTCACATTTTCAACCATTTTTTGGGAGGTCTGCAACAGCAATGACACCTTCGCAAATGCCTTTTTGCTGTGGCGGGAGATGGCCGTTTTGTGCATGTCTATGTGAATGCTGGCCATCCCTACCATTTTGCCATAATTACTACCAATTATCTTCTCGTTTTTCTAAAATAATTTCTTTTGGGCCAAGATTATTGATAAAGAAGAACACTAATAACAAGTTACATCACTTCCCTCTAAAAAAAAAATAAAAAAAATCAGCTATAATAAAAAAGAAAGGCACTTTTATTCCTATTTTTTTTACCCCACCGGTTATATATACAGTGGTTGAGAATACAAACAAACTTGAAAATCAATTCCGCCTCCAATGATAATGATTATGTTATAGCATTTCTTTTTTCTAATTTTATTCTAATTGTGATCTAAAATTCAAATCTTCGGAAAGGAAAAAAAATATTTTTTATAAGTTTTTTTGCCTAATTATGGATAGCTTATTTAGGATTTTAATAAGAGAAAAATTAGTTTTAATATTGAAAAACTGATAAAGAATAAATTTAAAATTATAAAATAAGAAATTATCATTATTATGTCTTGCAACTTGCAAGGATATATTTTACTTTGTTTTTATACAAGCACAAAATATTTCTTTATTTATTTTATTTTTTCGGGTATATTAGACACCTAGATTTATTTGAAATACCTTGGCTAATTAAATTAATTTTTTCATGGATTGATTTTTAAATACTCAGAAATATTTTTTATATAATTTTAGTCCTTAGTACCCATAATTACCAAGTTAATATATAAAGGTAAAAGTAATTTAGCTAGAAAAACCATAAGTGGGATTCTGATATACCACGTGGTGTAATGTAAAGAAGAGTATTTTTATGCATTTTAGTGTTTGGTCTACTGATGAAAGGAGTTTGTCTCCTTCCACTACATCTGGGTTCGAGCCTTGACGTGCATGTCTGTCACTCCTGCAGTACCTTACATGCCTACTAGGTTTGCAGGGTATTCAGTGGGCCGTGGGGATTAGTCGTGATGCGCGCAAGCTGGCCCGAACACCCCACGTAAATAAAAAAAAAAGTATTTTTATAAAAGTATTTTTTATTTAAAAATATATTAAAATAATATTATTTTAATTTTTTTATATAAGTTTATGAAAACAATAAAAAAATATCTATTTTTTTTAAAATAAATTCTCGTAAAAACAACACAAGCTAGTTTTAAATTGTGTTCATTCATGTAGGAGTGTGGTGAAGGATAAATTTTAAAATATTTTTTTTACTTGAGTTGTTTTAAAATAATATATTTTTATTTTTTAAATTTATTTTTAATATTAATATATTAAAATAATTAAAATATATAAAAAAATATTAATTTAAAAGAAAAAATAACAAGAAACCAGTTCAACCGTAATGTCAAATCATCCATTCAAATTAAAAGAGATATTGTGTTCTGAAAAAAAAAAGAAAAAGAGTTAAATCTCTAAACCAATGAATCTCATAATAAAATAATAAACTGACTTTCTGACCATTTGAACTAGCCCGCATCATCAAATGTGTCGATTGGACAGTAAGGCCCTGTCTCTGATATGGCCGAGATCTTTGTCGTGCTGACACCGGAAAAGGTTGCAACGGCTATGGGCATTTAGCACCTGTCTCAGCCTGTCTGTCTCCACCTTTAGTGTTTCCTCTTGGGTTTTGACAGCCCAACAACAAAAAATTTCTCTGGGGCTTTCGCATATAGAATGATCTTGCTCATCAGTCTCTGTCTTTGAGGTATGCCTTTTCTTTCCTTTCTTTCTTTTATGATTTATGTGTGTGGTCATAGATTGTCAGATGGAATTTATTTGTAAAATTCTTATCTTTTGGGTTTTTGATCGTCATTTTCAATTCTCTGGTATATGTTTGGTAAGCTAGCTATGTTGAATGCTCTGTCGGTGCTTTTAAGGTCTCTAAGTTAAAACATGATACTCTCATCTGACAGTAATGAATTGGGCATCTGCCATTAATTTGAAGGGATATAAAACGAACTTTCTAAATGAACTTTTGTGGGTTGCTGTGAACCCCTTTAATATCTTAATCCAATTGAATCTTCAAAATTTGCACAGACGGAGTTGGGTTTTCTTAACTAACCTGATATTGAACATTATTGAATGGATAATTTTGCTTTGGTAGCTATTCTGGCTGTATTTTGTGCACTTTCTCCATCGTAAAAGTTTAGGAGGGATCCCAGATCTTTGTTTGGAATTGCATGAGTGGATTTATAGTAGGTTTTTTGGCTGTTGCGTGATACAGCGTAGCATTAGGCCCAGGTTAGTATGGTTAAAGCCCCTCGTAATAAACAGAACATGATAAATGATTATCATCTTAATGAGAGAAATTTTGAAGATCTATTTTATAAGTCATGATGTATTGTATTGATTACAAATTAGCAAATTTTCACCTCATATCGCAGTATATTCATGCCTGCTTGACAGGCAGAATATGACTATCTTACAATACCTGATGCTCTTGTAGAGAAAAAGATGGCCTTCTGGGATTGAGAGGACTGAAGTCAGGGGACCTAGTAATTGTTAATATATCTGTTTTTTTTTTTTTTTTTTTTTTTTTCTGAATGGGTTTTTCCAAATTTTTTTTAAATTTTTTTTTTTTTTTTTTTTTTTTCCTGAATGGCATTTACCAAATTATTATGCTAGGTTATGTCTCTTACTTTAGGCTATGGAACTGAGGTTGTATTCTGCAAATTCACTTCTTCACAAGTTGATATGCCTGTTATTCGATCTGAGCAAGGTGCAGGAATGATCAATTGCAATATACTGCAGAGGAACTTAAGATGGGATGCACGATGAAATTTATTGGTCCAAACTTCTACTGAATTTTGAAGGGGAGTTCAATAAGAACGCTTTGGTAATCTTATGGTGACAAGTTTGAGTCATAAGAGTTTTTCCCAATGATTATTGAGTTCCTTCTCTGAGAAGTGGATGTTGATGACGAACTGGAATATGTTTCTTGCTGCTAACAGAAGAGGCAACAAGCGAGTCAATCTCTCTATACCTCGAGGCTTGCTAGTAGAGCGTTGGTGGATAAGTGAGACTCGTAACTTTCAACCTTTTCCATGCAAGTGGTGCTAACAGACTTGAACCGGAAAAGAAATAAGAAGACAAAGGAAAAAAAGAAGTCTCGAACTGAAGCAGAAGCTAACAGCTGAGCCCTCAGTAATAGTGATGAATAATTGAACTTGAAGTCTCGAACTGAAAATTATAGCAGGGGATGAGAGACATCCTCCTCTTCATGATGCATTAAATGGATGTTGTCTAGTGGTTTTCAATGGCTTTTCAACAATGGATACATGTCGAGATGATATCATTATCTTTAGCTCCTGGTTCAAGTAATGACCAAAATGTACTTTTATCCTTGCAAATCAAGTGAACTGAGATAATTTAGATGAAGTGAATCGAATGTAGTAACTGAAGAAGTTGCAGAACATTGTACATGCTACAGCAATTACAGAAATCAAAATGTATAAGTGACTCTGAGGACCGAGATGGCAATTGTAGAGATCAAAAGGTATCCATGGCTCTGAGATTAAGCGTCGACTTATTCCAGATCTAATATCCCGAAATTGGACAGAAGTATCTTTACTTGATCAACAAAGTCCGAGCCCGTTGCATACTCTGTTAGCATTCCAACAGCAAAACCAAACATTGCCCATCTGCTCAACCAATATCCAAAGCACAGAAATGAAAAGAGGCATCATATCAGAAAGCCACATTATGTCAAGTCAACTGTAGCAAAACGCAAGCTCACTTACCCAAGTTTGTGAAAATTCATGTAACCAAAGCCAAGTAGTTATGCTAATTGGCCACTAAAACGTTCTTTAAATGAGTGATGCTGGGTTCGTATCTACCCACTCTTGTAACAAGAAAAGGGTTGAGCTTTAATTATATAGCACTCTGTTGGAACTCAAAACCACATGGTCAATACATGACAATTCGAAGAGAAAAACCGGTTTTGAAAGGAAAAACAAAATTTTGAAGAAAAAGCAGTTGCAAAACAAAAATCAAGAAAAACTGGGGTCTAAACTTGGGGAAGAAAAACAAAATCTTTCTCGCTTCCATAAGAAATTTTTGCTGGGGATTTGAGCAAAAGCCACCTCTGTGCATCCTAGAAGTGGAACTGGTGATAGCATTGCACTGCCTTGCCTTGAGTGCTATTGATTGGCGAAGCAAATCACCAATCAATAACTGGAAGCATTTCCTTGAGAAGGGCTTTATTTAAGCACTATCCACTGAGGAAAAACAACTGAAACTTAGAAATTAAAGAGCTTAGTCGGTGAAATTTATGTACCTTTCCCTTTCAAAGGCTCAAGAACAATGGGTCTGAAACACTTTCAGTTACCTATTCGAACAGGCCTTCCTAAAAGCCAAAAATAAGAGAACACGAAGTTTTTTTTATGTAATTCCAATGTGAGACTTCTTTGCACGAACTAGTTTACCATCTAGTCCTAGTGAGGCATGGCAAGTCTGTCCTGCATAACCTCTTATTCTATGTCTTCGACTACGGAGAAGAATGAAGCTAATTTGCTAGAAACTAATTACTCTTAAACCGATCTTGATCGAAAGAAACTGTATGTTATCGTTTCTTTTTTCTCTATCCAGTGAATAATGTATCGTTTCAATTGGTCTAATCACTCAAATTCATTATTTAGGACGAATAAAACATCAATTTGCAGAAACAACCCACAAATCTGTCCAATTAGATTAATTATCCACATAAACCCAGATAAACTAAAATTTCAAAAATCCCAAATTGCACATCAAAGAAGAAAAAATTATTACCTTCCATTAGCAATCTCATTCTTGCCAACGAACCCAAAGAAAGGACCTTGATCTGCCTCCTCAAACTTCTTCTGCTTAAAATATTCTTGAAGTTCCTTAGCCTTTTGTCTCTGAAACTCCAAAGTAACCACATTCTTGTCCTTCACGGCCACTTGAGCAGCTGGCTTGGGTGGTGGAGTCACTGGAGAAGACGGTGAAGGAGGAGGGACGGGATTCAAGGGAGGCGATGGTGCTGCTGGCGAGGAAGGTGCTCTAATAGGAGGGGCCACAGGTCTCCTTACAGGCCCTTCAGCTTGAGAACTTCTTATGGTCACAATATAAGGCCTTGTTATTGTAGAAAACCTATAGAAAGAAGATGTTGAGGAGGTTGATGAAGAGGAAGATGGGAAGGAGCAAGATGACGATGAAGGGTTTGGGATTTTGATGTATGGGATTGAAGATGCCACTGACATTTTTCCCCCTCTTCTTGCTCAATCTAAGCACTATATTTCTCCCCCTAATTTCTCTCTGTAGGATAAATGTTTCTTTTTCTGTGCAGATGTGGTTTTTTGTTTTGGTTTGTGTTATCAGAATCAGAAGAGAAGGTGTGTGTGGATAAGGTGTGGCCAAGTTTCAAAGGAGAGAGTGATAGTTCAAGTTAGTTGGTCCATCGAAGGAAGTGGTGACTTTGGCGCCTAACAGCCGCTCAAGCAAGTACGATGTTACCAACATGCCCCTTTACCAGGTTTGTGCTTTGACGCGCTTTCCATGCGAGTGAAGAAGCCATTTCCTTGAATAGCACTTCGAAAAACGTTGCTAATAAGCAAAATCACTGCGATTTGAAAACGTTGCTAAAAAGTAAAGCCTTGATGTAATAAAGAGCATTTTTAGGTGGTATTTGTTTTTTAAAAAATAATTTTTTAATATTTATTTGTCATTAAAAAAATTAATTAATGAAAAATATTTTTTAATTAATAAAAAATATTTTTCAGTAAAAAAAAAATTAACTTAGTTTTCAGGAAAATATTTTTTTTACTTGTTTTCAAGAAAATGGTTTTTAAAAAATTACTTTCCAAATTTTATTGTATTTGTTCACTGTTAGGAAAGTTGATCAATAGAAAACACTTTCCAGTTAAAGAAAACTTTAACTTGATTTTCAAGAAAGTATTTTCTTAAAAAATTTAGACAGAAAACACTTTCCGGAAGTTATAAAAAATTTAGAAATATCATTGTTTGTTGATTGTATCAAATTTGATCCTCAAACTTTTGATTGTTATACATATTTTGTTTTGGATATTTATTTTTTAATTTTATTTTTATATTAACTTTGATCATCATTTTTATAATTATTATTTGCTTTTCTCTTATTATTTTTTATTGGTCCTCGTTCTTTTTATTATTACTTATTTTATTTGAAATAATTTATGAAATGTTAATTATTATTATTTTAATTTCTTTATTTTTTTTAAATTTAAATTTTATTATTTTGATTATTATTTATTTTATTTGAGATAATTTATGAAATTATATTTTTTTCAATTTCATTCTCATTCAACTTTTTAATTTGTAAGATTTCTTCTTCATTATTTTAATAAATTTGAAAAAAATAAAATTTTAATAAATTATTTTTTAATTTATTTTTCATAACATAATTAAATACTGTAAAATATTTTTCAGTTTATTTTTCATATTATTATTAAATATTATAAAATAATTTACTTTTCAAAAATTTATTTTTCTTAAAATTTATTTTCTAAAAAAAATAATTTTTCTACGCACAAACAAAGCTTTAATCACAAAATTATCAAACCATCTCCTTATGTCTAATTTGACCACAGTTTTTGCTTTCGGGTTGTTCCAGAGCACTTCGACCTATCCTCGGAGAAAGAGGAGAGAAAAAAAAGAAAAAGCGGGAGAGAACAGTTTAACTTGGTTTCTTCTTGCCGTGATTCCTGCAAAAGCTTTCCCGCAACGTCTGAAAGCCATAATAAAATCAGGGAAGCTGATAATCCCACGAAAGAGAGCAGGGTCCCTCTTTAACGACTATGAACCCATTCTAGCTTTTGAGAAGCTGGGCATGGTTAACACGTCATGAATAATATAAAATAAATTTAAATTATAAAAATAACTTATAAAATTATAAAAAATTATTTTTGTATTTTAAAAAACTATTTTATTTTTAAATTAATTTTTTATTATTTGAGATTATTTTAATACGATGATATCAAAAATAAATCTTAAAAAAATAAAAAACTATTATTTATATTTACTATTTATCAAGTAAATATCATTTAAATTGGTTGATGAAACAACTTGATTAATTAATTGTTATATTATAAGAATAATACAAATCTTTATGTATAAAATTATAATGAGTGTTGTTTTTTAAAATAATTTTTTATTTAAAATATATTAAAATATTTTTTATATTAAAAATATTCTTTGACGTTAAAAACATTTTAAAAAAATCTAGAAATACAAACAAAAACTTTACCCGTTAGTATGAGTGATTTTAAAAACTTGACCTGACCACGTCATGCAATAAATATACTATAATTGTTATAAATATAATCTTTAGACTCTTTACAACTTTAAGTATAGTCTCTATAAATATAGTCTTTAAGGTACAGCCAAAGCTAGAGCCCAAAATATATTATTCTTAATAAAATTATAAAAATAGTTTTAAAACCATGATTTTATATGATTTCAAAATTTTAAAACAATTTTGTATATTAAATATATATTAACTTATAAAATCATATAATTATAATTTTAAAAAACAACTCGTAATTTTAACCATCTTAATTTTAAAACCTGATTTTACTTAATTTTAACCATTTTCAAAATTTTAAGACAATTTTGTATATTAAATATATATTAACTTATAAAATCATATAATTATAATTTTACAAATCAACTGGTAAATTTAACCATCTTAAAACAGGGCAATCCATGGTAGTAACAAGAGGGCTGAAAATAATACGAGACATTAATTACGAGAAAACAATGGCCAGGGCAATCACAAGTAACAAAGAATAAGGTGCCAAACAGCGTGAAGATTAGAGTAACAAAATGAAATCCTCATCAATTAAATACAGGCACAGAACGATCAGTCCAACAGGCGTGGCCCGATATAGAACTTCTCACTTAGTGTGCGTTTGTTAACAAACGGACCCTCGCATAGAAAGTGTGGCCAGATGCAGAACTCCTTTCTATGGTAACATTTCATATGCAACCAGGTACTCGCTTTTTCTTCAGCACAAGTCAGTTGATAGCCAGGAAAAAGCAGATGAACTCCATCAGTAGCAGCAAGTCCCGTGATTTGCCACGGCATCTTGAGAAAAACTGGGCACCCAAAAGTTTTTGGTAATTGATCACATAATCACGCACGAACAACTTCTTTCATTTCCATTCTCGAATTCATCATCTGATCCACCTGTTTCACTGCCATGGATCAAGTTTTCGAATCATTAACATGGTCATAATGAATATTCACCAGATGAATTAAAAACCTAAGCAAGAGTGGAATTAGTAAAGAAGGTCATCAATGTTTCTGCATAATGAATAACCAAATGCTTGCAAAAATCTTCATAGAAGTTAGTGGACTCCTTCAAAATTTAGGACCAGAAATTACAAAAAACATGTCACGTAGGAAACTCGCTTGCTGACTCCAATGTTACCATTGACACTCGTAACATTCTTCATGTCATATACGTACACATAATGCCTCCCCAATACAGCTATCAAAAGACATATCAAAAACACTTTGGTTGTGTAGATAGAAGCGAAACAAATAACCATACACACTGTGGGACT